ACGGAATATTCTGTCGTTTCTTGCTCTCGGATTTCAGTTGAAACAGTTCTGCCATACATCAGCTCAATAGATGTAAAGGAAAATTTACCTGATAATCATTACTACTGCCAAAATTATCCATAAATATGCACAATAATGAAGCTTAACAAATTACTCTTCCCTGATTAAAGATTGAAAATTTACTTGAAAGGTTCTTACTTTATATGTGTTGCTGTGATCAGTCATATAGAAAGAGCTGATGATGGTTACAATGATACAGTAGAATGGGCAACATTTATTTTCCGCTTAAAAGCTGCAACGAAGTTGTATTTTTCGGTATCTCGTCGAGTTATTACAATCTGCCATTTTGATTTGTAATGTGCATTTTTGTTCTCCCTCTGTCGGCAAAAATATACTTCTGACAAGGCTTAGTGGGGACCAAAAGAGTGCATGCCTTTTTCTTTGTTCTGTGAGATGTGCGCAAAAGCATATGGTCTGTAAAATTTCAATTATCACTGTATGATATTAAAAATTCTGGAAAATACGCTGGATCGAACTTGAGTGCCTGTAGTGATGATACAATGCAATACACTTTGCAGGTAAGCACTGATATACAAAAACGCAGTGTCTATAAAATGCACATTATGAAACATAAGTTTTGCAACTGTTTGGTGATACGTCTAAAATAGTTTGCATTATTTGTGCTTGTTAACATTGTTCATTTGAGAATTTAAAACAGCTTTCTAGTGTTAAGTTAAAATCGTATGTTAAACGTTCTTATTAATTAATATACGTACTACTGGGGTAAACTTGCTTAGTTAAAAATAATTTTGGCAATTTAATGAAATAAACCATAAACATATTTGTTTCAATGTATGAAATCAATTTTGAGCATAAATGCGGATACCGTTAGGTCCAGTAAATCACTGATATTCTGTAGGCTGGTCTATAAATGCGGATACTGTCAGGTCTAGTTAATCACCGATATTCTATAGGCTGGTCTAAAAATGCGGATACCGTCAGGTCTAGTAAATCATTGATATTCTATAGGCTGGTTTATAAATGCGGATACCGTCAGGTCCAGTAAATCACTGATATTCTGTAGGCTAGTCTATAAATGCGGATACCGTCAGGTCTAGTAAATCACTGATATTCTATAAACTGGTCTAAAAATGCGGATACCGTCAGGTCTAGTAAATCGCTGATATTCTATAGGCTGGTCTATAAATGCGGATACCGTCAGGTCTAGTAAATCACTGATATTCTATAGGCTGGTCTATAAGTGCGGATACCGTCAGGTCTGGTAAATCACTGATATTATATAGGCTGGTCTATAAATGCAGATACCGTCAGGTCTAGTTAATCACCGATATTCTATAGGCTGGTCTATAAATGCGGATACCGCCAGGTCTAGAAAATCACTGATATTCTATAGGCTGGTCTGGTTGTTATTGCGTTCAGTAGTCGATTTTAGAAGAAAAGAAATGTTATTTTAATTAGTTGGTATTAGCTGCTGATTATTGGTGATATTAGCGGTAATGAAATGTATCTAAAGCGTTTTGCCACCAAGAGAGGGAAGAGCGAGAGAATCCGAACGAGTAAACGGTGTGAACGCTTGTTACTGCCATCCGTTGTCAAGACTGGGAACGGGTGAAAAGGGACGGGAACTTCGTCACCCTGTGTCACCATCCACTGTTACTCAAGAGCGATACGTTGCTTTAATCCTCCATTTGTATTATTATTATTAAATCTTCAAGTATCAAGGTGGCCTGCTAGAAGGCTAGTTCAGGATGGTGAGCGAACTTGGCCGCTAGCAATGGAATAGGATTAAAATCTAATGGGCGCCACAGGACCGCGGACAAAGGTTAGTCTGGAGGGATACGCAGTCGTGATGATGGAACATTTGTGAGGTTACGTGACCCAAGCATTCGCAAACAGTAAAAGACGGTTTTAAAAAAGTTGGCATTCAATGCCGGCTGCACGGAATAAGAACCTTTGATCGGTACAATCGGCAGTCACATGACAGCCAGGGTGTTAAGACACGGTGGGACTACAAAAAACGCACACCTGCACTCCTAACTAAGGAAGGATTTGGCATCCCACGTTTTCTCCACTCGCATCTCCTAGGCCTGTCTGTTCGGGAATTAGACTAATCCAGTTTTGGAAAGTCAGTCTGAAAAGACGAGAAAGATTGGATTATTTCTTTTCTATGTCAAGCTTAACAGTCTATTGTGTATATTCTTTAGGTATGTTTTTAGGGGAAAATGAAATACAACGAATCAGTTTTTTGCCGTCTCCGAATGCATTAAAATTCTTCTTCTACGTTGCTCTTTGTAGCGTGTAAGTGATGGAACGGGTAAAAAAATGATTTTGCCAAGCGGAAGGTCAGTTCGAATCTAGATGCGAAATCTTCAACTGAGTCTCGATTTATATAGAGTGAGGGATTTCCAGGTAACATTTGTACTAAGTTTATAACACGTAATTGAAGACTGTTTTTCTAAGAAGAACTTCTAATCAACCAAATGATATATATAAATCATAGCGGTTCAGAAGTATGAAAAGATATTATTACATTGATAAATATAAAGATAGATATAGTAAATTTATAAGCTTAGATGTAGTTTTGTTGCTACGTGCTCGTGTAAGAATTCTTATTTATGAATTAATTCTGATAGCTTAGTTTTCTATACTGACCGTTGACATTTACTTTAGTATCTTATACACCCGTAATATGAGCATCGTAATAATCCTGTTTTTTAATCTATTGATTTTGCTTAGTTAATGAAATGCATTTTCTATGTTTTATTACTGACGTCCTGGTTTTGTCCATTTCCGCATTTGTTTTCTCATTGTAGAGCCGGAGAGTTTTTGTTTTCTACATGTTATGATAACCTTCGATGCAGAGTTTGTGTTACGTTCAATCCCAGGATTCGGTCGTTGACAGAAAAAATAACCATTTCGCGATTGGAGCATGTTAAAATGATCAAAAACGGAAATGAGATGTCATTTCGGTGTCTGTGCGAATTGTGCTTAGAGCTACTGCAGTTTCTGATCTGCAGTGTGTATAGTTTTACACAAAGATCTGAGCAGTTGTCCCCTATTTTTTCTGTTTCGTTTTTCACTTTTTTGGTCATTTCGGTGTCTGTGTGAATTGTGCTTAGAGCTACTGCAGTTTCTGATCTGCAGTGTGTATAGTTTTACACAAAGATCTGAGCAGTTGTCCCATTTTTTATGTTTCGTTTTTCACTTTTTTGATATTTTACGTGTTGTAGTTTAAGCAAAGTAACCTGATAACATATAACTTTTTTAATTTTAACATGCTCTAATGCCGAAATGGCAACATATACAAACTACTCAGTTTTTTTTTCACGCATCTACATTGTTTCCAATAGTCTTAGCTGATACAATAATAAGATGAAATAGCAACAGCAAAAATTCGAAAATGGTAAAAAATGTGACTCGTTAAGCATTTAGGAAGAGCTGTTTCTTCATTCTGTAAGTTGTACATCAAAGTACATGCAGAAGTTTCAAAAGAGTGACCGAATTAACCACAACAGGTTAATTTAAGATCATGTATCAACGTCAAACTATTCTGCATAGCAAGAGTTGGAAGTGCACAAATTTGTTGAGGTTATTTCTTTTGGTTTCTATACGAATCTCCACACTGGGATTATAATTCAGGCGAAACACCGGAAATGAAGGGAACTACAACATATTTATATGGACTTCCTAACATTAGACATTTACTTCCTTCTATCACTTATCGATAAACAGACCTTGGAACCTACAGCGCGCAAGAGTAAATGATATCAGCTAAAACTACATAAAGTATACAGTGAAAATGCATAGCCATAAACCAGTATTATGTCACTCCTGTAAGTGTTGGTGCACTCCTAACATGATGTACTTTTTCTGTTGGAATCTGATACTCTCTTCTCGAATGTTTGTTAAAGTTTTAATTTTTTTTCTACATCCTCTAAAGTCATAATCCGTAATTTTTGAAAGTTTCTTAATTTTTCATTTCGAATTATATATATATATATAGCAAATAGTTTGCTGTAAAATATTTCAGACATTCATATTTCCTGCAAATTAGACAGGTGTTCATACAATATTTTATATAGATTTCTAATTTCAGGTATAGAATATAAAAGTTAGCTCCGGATATACCTCTGTGGACTTACAACGCTAGAATCCGGGTTTCGATACCGTGGTGGGTAGTACACAAATAGCCAATTGTGTAGCTTTGTGCTTAATAATAAACAAACAAACCGGATATACCGAGGGGGTCTGTGACTTCTTCAGATTTTTTTAAACAGCTGTTTCTAAATTATTTATGCATTAGCCCCGGGTGGCTCAGCAGTAAGCGTGGGGGCTTATAATGTTAAAATTTGGGGTTCGATACTCAAGGGTACTGCGCAGGTAGCCCATTGTATAGCCTTGCGATTAAAAACAAACCAACAAATTTATATCAGATTACTTGTGGTATATGACTTCGCTTGTTACAAGATCCTAATAAAATCTGAGCCACAGAAAATGTATAAACAGAAATGTTGCAATTATAGTCAACGTTGCAATTAATTCCTTCATGTACTAGTAAGCTTTTCTATGTATTTTACGTAGAAAATGAGTGACTTCACCCATTTTCTTTGGGTCTTTTACACTGACAAAAATATAAAATTACACAATGTGATATAATGTGGACCCTATTGATAGTGAACGGTATAAAAACAAGTCGATAATTTGAGGGTTATGGTTAGAAATTAGAGAATAATCTATTATGAATGATTTACTAATTCACAAACCTACAACAACAAAAGCGATGTTAGTTTAGCTGTTTATATATTATTGTTTCAGGTTTTTGAGGGAAACTACCAAGTTGTTATTAAACTTCGCATGCAGTTTCATGTTTTTATAAATTTTTCTAGATAACATGTTAAGCTTTTGAGTATAATGCATGAAAATTTAGTTCTACACAAATAAAGCTATAATTAAAGTTTGTATTCTTTATGTGTTCCTAGATCGGATCGGTAGCAATGCGCATTCCAATTCCTGGCCAAAGCTGCCTGATGGTCGGCATTACGATGTTGAAGGCGTGGGCTCCTACATTATTGGTAAGGCCGGAAAATTATAACTCTTGGGTTTTGATTATCTGTATCAGAGATAAAAACTAAAACTTAAAAAAAAGAAATGTAGAAATGAAACATTGAGTTTTAAAATGAACATGAACTTATCGGTTTTGTACTTTCTCTAATTCTATAAATTTGTTACCAAGGGCTTTAAACTTCTGAAATTTGTCGTAATGCACTTAAAAGTGATGCATCGCCAGAGGACTACAGTTTTTTTTATTTAGGTTTTAGCAGTTATATTGTGTCTCTTGTGATGCACTCGGTTGCTTGACACAGTTACATATCTATTTTTCATTTTAAACTTTAACTTTCAATTTATTTGGTACATTATTTGTTTAGAATCGATTAACTTCGTAGATTATATCGTACAGCTTCTTGTATAGCCTTTGTTTGATTTGTGTACCCATGAACGCTCTGTACCATCATTGTCTAAATTATTTCACAATCAAACGTTTATAGATGTCTTCTGTATTGCTTGATAGATAGTTTTATAATTAATTCATTCATAGATTGTGTTTCTAGTAAACATGTTTCATTTAGAAATAAGTTACCTCTAATTTGTTGATCTAGTAACATGAAACTTTGGCGTTCAGAGTATGTACGTTTTCATGTATGCGATACAAGCATACTGAATAACCGCAGAATCCAGTGCGGAACATCACCTCTTCCAGTAAAAGGGTCTTGCTAAATAATTCCTAATAAAGGTGTCAGCAGACAGACATTTGAATAACACGGTATACAACAAATGCCATTAAGTTGTTCATGCTAATATTATAGTTGATTTCTGGAAATTTTGGTGTTATTAAACACATTTCTACCTTATCTAATATAGACTAATATAAAATCTTCTGTCACTTACTTGCAACATATTCCACAAGCTCTTTTTAGCCGATGTGTGAGAGGAGGGGGGATACAATGGTACGTAAATAACAGCCATCATAGAAGTTGGTATTTACAAAAATTACAAAGACGATGAAAATATTTCGTAAATGTTTAAATTACTTTTTTCTTCCCGCGCTTCGGTACTAGGCAATGATCAATAAGCATATTTCATATAGAATCGAAAGCGCTCATCTATTTTCTGTAAAGGTTATCAAGTTTAATGAGCTTTAAAGCTTTGCAAATCTCATATACCTTATTACCCTCTAATCAAAACTAGAGATGAAAAAATTGATATAAACACGAGTTTGGTAGAATATGATTATCTTGGGAATAAAATCAATAAAGGCAGACTATTCTGTTTTTATATTTGTCTGATACTTTATCGTTATAAATACTGCACACTAATAGCACACTAAAACTAATTGGCTTACAATGCGGTATTTATGGTTCGGAATTTAATAACTTTTTTTTCCGAGATGAAGAATGGGTTAATTTGTTTATACAGATGCGCTCTCTAGTGAAAATGATGTACTTTAGTTTTATTCATAAAATAGAGGCTTAAAGTCCTAAATTACAGCGTTTTCTAGCAATCTGTTTCAATATGTTGTTTATTTACTTTATTTTTGTTTTCTTCATCAAGCGGAATGTTAGTGTATAAAGACTCAATATCAAAACTGGTGATGTATACAGATTGATCAAATTTCATGGATTTTACGAAATTAGAGAAATCAGAGGCCTATTGTATCTAACATAGGAACGCACAATTATAAATTAGCTAGTTTCTTAAGTTGTTACTTCCATTTACTAAGAATGACTTTACAGTCAAAGATTCCTTTGATTTCTCTAATTTCGCCAAATCCATGAAATCTGATCAGTTGTATACATCACCAATTTTGATACTGAGTCTTTATTTTTGTTAATGTAAGTTTGCTGTCTCCTGTAAGGAAACATTCTTGTGGCATGATTAGCATTGTATAAATCGTTTTAAAGATTTACTGAAACATAGCGACATCTGGATGAAAATAATCTTGGAAATCACGTTCTTTAACTATTATTTCGGATTGATTGGAGTAGATGTCAATCAGTAGTAATGAAAGATTGTTTGCTGCTGACTAACATCAATGATGTGTACGAACCAATGTCTTCACCTCTCAGGTCGGATGTCGTGCCCACCTGTGGAACGGTTTCCGGACTTTTCAGATGTCACTATTTATCAAACTTCAGGTAAAACATGAATTTCAAAATCAGCTCACTGTCTTGGAACTCTGTAAAATCGTATTGGTGAATGGGATTTTCTCTTTACAATTCTAAATCTGTTTTGGTTTTTGTTTTCACCTCATCTAACTTTACTCTTATTTCCATTGTTTGTTTGCTAACCTACGCCTAATTTCCTTGTTAAGCACTAATATTAAACGATAGGTTAAAAAAATAATTATTTATTGGAATGTGGAATTGAAAAGTATATAACTCAATGCTTAGATAATGGTCTAAACTCGATATAAAATAGTTTAATAAACGTTTTAATGTTTAAGTGCTTGGCATACAGTATTGTAGAAAGCGCAGTTTTTGTTTAGGCTGTTATTGATCATTAATTGCTTAAAGAAGTTATTTCATTGTTTTCATAAAGCAAAAATATTTTAGAGGCTTCGGATAGTACATAGGCCTAAAGAACATGTATATATAATAGGACAATAGTCGTTTTGAGTGCAGATATGCAAAATAGTAACTAAAGTTTGAGGTAACATCCGCAACTTGCGCTAAAATTGGTGGGTATACTGGGTTGAGAATTTTCTTCTTGATATTTTAATACGCTGGTAACACGCATGACCGGTGACGAGTGCAAAGTGGAAACTGACTTTGATAAATTAGGCCTTGTCGCAAAGTTATATTTTCCAAAACTTTTAAAGGCTAAGGCACAAAATATCAGACGAAATAATGAATTAACAGATTTTATTTTCCTACTACCAATATAATTAGGATAAAATGAAACTGTTATGTGAAGTTGGATAAGAAAATTATGAAGGAGTTACACACAAGTAAAAGTAGCATAAATGGAAAATTGAAAGAAGTAATTCACGTACTATATAATTTTTACCGTAGTTATGTTAGTGTAGCGCTCCTAGTGAATTTTTTAAACAAGATATAAAGTTATTGTATAAGTATGCTTACTTGAGGTTATTCTAAATGATCATGTATTGAGTTTTAAATATTCTTCTGTCACAACTGTAGAAGGACATTTAAATAGAAAGATTACTAATTAGAATTTCAAAAGTATTTTTATGATAATTTGGATATTCCATCAAACGGAAAAAAACAAAAACAAACAACAGACAACCCTCTCTGGATAACTGAAAAATAGATGGCGAAATTGTTGGTTGAATTTAAGGGTTGATTGTTGAAATCAGTCTTAATATTTATTTTATTTGTTTGTTGGTAAGCGCAAAGCTACACAATGGTCTATCTGTGCTCTGCCCACCGCGGATATCGAAACCAGATTTTTAGAGTTATAAGTCCTAACAGTTAACACTGAGCTACCGGGGAGGTGGTGATATTTATTTTGATAAAAATATTTTTGCCAAGTGTCGTTTGTCATGATGGAAAAATGTCTCAGTAATTAATGAACAACAAGTACTAGTTAGTTGAGACTAAATAAAAGACCATTCGGACGCAACACATTCGGACGCATTCGGGTGCGTCAGAAGTAAGGTTATGAGCTCTCAACACTAAAATCCGGGGATCAGTTCCCCGCGGTGGAAGCACAGATAGCCCAGTGTGTATTTTTGCGCTGAAGCAACAACAACCATTCGGACATCAATAGCAAAGAGAACTTTCATGCGGAAAGAAATGAGAAAAAAAGGTATAAAGTTCCTAAGCTATAATAAAAAAATTGTTTAATTGTTATATATGTAGGTGAAAATGCTTTATAACCTCCACAAACCATTAGTTTGGTTAAATAAATAACTTCCGTAATAATACCTTTTTTCTTCTTAACCCCCATAGTGAATCAGCGGTCTGAGGGCTCACACCGGTAAAACGTGTTTCAATATTTTTGGTGGGTACAGCACGAATACCCCATTGTGTATTTTTGAGCAGAACAACAAACAAACTTTTTTTTCAAGTTATATACAAAAGAGTTGTGATTGGAAAGTTTTGTATTCTTCGTGGATAATTGTCTTTAAAAGTACAGAAGACTATGTTAGACAAGAATCTGTAAAATACTTTTTTATTTTCGCTATGAGATTAGGAATGTATTATATATTTATATTAGCAGAGACTCGCAAAACATTTGCGATCAAATTAGTATCTTTTATTGCAACAGTACTAATTTAAATAGAGGATTTATAGAATAATACCAAATAATTCTAATCGCAGACACCGAAATCTATAACTCCACTTGTCTGAAGCCTAATATTAGTTAAGATTTATTAAGTACGGCCTTTATTCGATAAAGAGATAAACTAACACTGTAACTTGTGTACGTTTTTTGCCAGTTTGAATGTCTAATGTCGAGTGCACATAAATAACGATGGATATTATGATTCAGTTACCTTTTACGTATCACAAACAACCTAAATATGATAATTATAATGTGATTATTTTCCTTTTGTCACACTTTTTCGGAAATTCCCGAAGCCGGTCCAACTCAGTGACGGGTGTTAAATTGTAGAATAGATTAGGCCTCAAGTTCCATTCTTGCCGAAATTCTCAGTTTTAATGATCATAAAAACAATTACATCATGGTATATACAGTTATTTTTCTCGTTCCGTTTCACCTTTCTCTTGATTATACATATCGATCTTTGCTTATTTTATACCCAACCCTATTTTAACGTACAGAAAAGTACGACAAAGTTCCTCACCTTTTCTGTATTACTATATCCTATCTTGTATTTGCTCATTGGTTTTTCACGAAGCCGTGTTAGTGCTGATCAGTGTTTTAAAAAGATAAATCAATTCCCCGTTTTCCGCGTAGATGATCAAGTTCTAATTGGATTACTAGTAGACGGCGATCCTATATATATATATTTATTTATGGTAGTTCCCCCTGTCTTTTCATTCGTTGTTTGTATCATAAAGAGACTGGCATATGGCGAAGTGCAGCTGCAGGGTTTGTAGATAATCCCTACTATTTTACACAACTAAATGATATTTATTTTCGTATATTGTGAATTTCTGTATAGACTATAAAATCAAACGAGACGAAACAGGAAACCTACCTACAAAACGAATAAAGAAAATATTTGTCAGAAAACTTATTATTCAAAGTACTTCCTTTAAGAATCCAGGTTCTGTTAATGGTCCTAACACTATTCTTTAATTGTTCCCTTTATTCTAAAAGTATTTAATATTGTATTTTCCTTTATTCCAAAAATATTTTTACATTGTATTTTTATTTATTCCAAAAGTATTTTATATTGCATTTTCCCTTATTCCAAAAGTATTTTAATACTGTATTCATGACAGAGCTCATTTCTTTTTTCATAATTAGCATAGTATGATCGGAGTCCATCCCTAGTAATGGTTAGCGTATGACTAAAGACAACCTATTTTTTAGTTTAATTCTATTAGAAGCAACATCCAGTGTATTTGTTCTTGAAATTTCTGATTTAAACGTAGTACAGAGTTTGATGTTACATTAAAACGATTTTTCAGCCTCATAACGTTGTTAAAGTACATGTTGCTACGTCCGATCTGATCTGTCTGACTACCGTGCATCTTGAAAATAACCCTGCACCGTAGTTTCCATTACAAAATAACCTGGTGAAAAAGACTGTCATATCCAAAGCATATCACTCCTCTCCACTTGCTTTAAATAGTTCATCTAGTGTAAGATGACAACGGTTTTTCTGAGTGTCCGTTTCAACCATAAATTTGATATACGATACGCTAGGGAAGACAGACAGACACGTATATCTATCTATGCATTAGCCGTTCTGGTCCCGAAGCCCTGTCTTCTCTGTGACGTCTCTAATAAATATTTGTTAACATACCTGCTGATTCTCAAGGAGATCTAAAGAGACCGTAAACATTTTTTAAAGTCTTCTCCAATCAGAAAAAAAAAAAAAACTCCATTCGCAAATGAAATACTTTTAATGCGAGATTAATAGAAATCGGTCCAAATAAGTCAACAAAGCATCAAATTCATACAAAGAAGTTGAAACCTTCATAAAACCTTGGTGTGGGGGGGAGCATACCCGCACCTCAAAAACGTCACTACTGTTATTCGTGATAAGAAATACTTGAAAAAAATCAATTTTATTCTAGAAGAAACTATGAATTATGAAATCAGGAACTAACTTATGAAAGAAACCTCTCTTAGATTAAGTTTTCTCTTTTATGATTTTCTGAATTGCTGAAACAACAAAACTAAGTATATTAATTTAGCCTTTGCTTTTAGCCAACATCTCAACTGACCTTAATTGGTTTTAACCTGAACTAACATTATTAAGCAATAGGCTACTGAATTGCCTCTTACCCACCTAGTTGTAACCCAAAAAGCAGTGAGAGTCCAAGTGTAACACCAATCAATTCAAAGGACACATATCTGTGGAACATAATTACAGGCTTTTTATATTCAGATTTGCACAAGTTACAAGCCCCCCCCCCCATTTTTCAAACAGAAAACCTTTTTTTTCGC